AATGAACTACTACTACTACTACTACTACTACTACTACTACTACTACTACTACTACTACTACTACTACTACTACAACTACTACTACTACTACTATTACTACAAAAGCGACAACATATACCGCACCTGTCTGAGCAAAGGTCAACAGCCCTGCCAGTAAAAGAGGGCGCTGTAAGTCGTCATCAGATTCTTCTGTACGGAATGATGCCAGAAACCTTTTCCCGCTCGCATGACACGCGAATGACGTCACTGTCCAGGCCACAAATACAAGACAACTTTTGGCATTATTCACAGCATCGAGGCCCGCCATTCTTAATCTCTAAAGCCGCAATCCAATTGGAAAAAATGTGTCTTTTCTGTGGGGAAGAAAAATCGAAAGCATTCAGTTTTCTTGGCTATAAACATATTTCATAAAACAATTCTTCCTGCAATATCGATTGAAATTGTTGCTACCGTGACTCCTTTGTTGAAATATGTAGCTGTTGCTCCGACAGCTGGTACGTTTTCTTCTGAAGATTTAATTTCACAGGTGTTAACGAATAAACAACAATGACATCCCTTTTGTGAAAAGGCATTTTGGCATTATTTTTTGACCCAGTCGACACGAGAAGGCATTAGCAGACGTTGAAAGAACATGGAGTGAAAGACGTACTCCTTAATAATGTCAAGGCGCCATATAAAAATAGTGTGAGTAGTGTAAGGAGCGAGAGGTAAACACTGACTGGTTCAAAGTGACATCAGGTGTCAGACAAGGCCGTGTCCTATCACTAACAGTCTGTATCATAGGGTTATCTTACTAGTATACCTCTATGCTCTAAGAAGAGTCATAGCTTTGTTAAAAACCCATAGCCTTCCATTAAATAACAATCTCTATCGGCCCAAATTAACTAATTCGCCCTTATGTGAGAGGTGTAACTCTCATGAAATTGAAGATGAATTTCACTTTATTTTCTATTGTTCACACTTAGTCCATCAAAGGAAATTGTTAATCCTTCCCAGCCTGACTCGGCCCAGTGACAGAAATATTTGACTCATGATAAGAGATATTTGCACAACCTGTACCTATTCATTATGGAAATTTTACTTATCAAATGAGTGTTTTGTGTGATGCAATGTGGGCTTATGGCCTTTAACACTGAATAAATTTACTTACTCTATGTTCTACATAGTCTTCGTGGACGAGATGATACAAGCAGCACACGACAACATCAAACAACTCTACAAACTGCTCTCTTAATTGTTTATTGGTTTAGGAGATTTTTTACGGTGCTCGCAAATGCATAAGGTCATGTATGAGCGCCAAGATTTGGATGTGAATAAAGAAGTCCTTACAGGGAATCAGACTTACTCTGCTCACCTCTCAAGCTTCAACAACACCAAGTCTGTTTCGACTATGAAAGCACTCCGGAAATAGCGGGTCACAAGAGTGTGACAAACATACAAAAGAAGTAGAGGAAAAATGACGATAGTAAGGATTACGAAAGAGAAAGCCGCAGTTCCCTGTTGCAGTTCAGGTACAGTTATGAGCAT